CCTTTTTCACCCTCACCAGGTAACAACCCCCCTCCCCCCATCTATTGCCCTCCCACCCCAGATATCATGCTTATCTATTACAATTCCACCTAAAGCTACTTTTGATTCCCTGGAGAAAACCAGAGATGCTGAAGAACAATAGCAGACTCGATAAGTGATTCTGACCCAGGTATGAGATGAAGGAGGATAAAAAATGGTGATACTTCCACTCATTCATTCCTTTAATATTGTTTGAACAGCTGTGCTATGCCAGCCTCTATGTAAGGTGCAGAAAATACAAAACAGCCATGATCCGTGTTCTCATGGAGTCCAGTGGAAGAGAGAGGGATTAATTAAATGAATAAATAATAGCAAAATGAATTAAGTGCTCTGAGGAAAACATGGATTTTATGAGGGTAACTAAGCAACCAGACCTAGGTGGCTTGGACTAGGTGATGACCGTGGAGGTATAGCGAAGTGCTTGGGTTTGAGAGATTTCTTTAAGGTAACATTGATAGGGCTTGGTTCATTGATTGAATATGTGGAGCGGGTAAGCAAGGTAGAGAGCGGTATCAAGGAGGGGAAACTCCTCGATTTTTTTACTTGCATAATTGGATGAACTGGGTGACATTCCTGAGAGAGTGAACCCTGGAAAAGATTCACCAGTGAAATCAGAAGGAAATGTGAGTCTGGGGTGTTTCGAAAGAAGAAATGGATATGGAGGTTGGAAAATGATTCAGGAATGGCTTCAAGCTCCTAGGTTTCAGTGACTAAAAGTATAGTGGGCCACTGACAGAAATGGGGTCCAATGCCAAAATGACAGTGATTGGACTTAATCTTTCCTTAAATACTGAGAAGGTAATTTGGAATCTAGCAATGTCTGGAGATCATGGAAGTGCTTTGGAACCATGATTGTGATAATTATTTATCACAGTAATGCTGGTAAATAAGGAACCTGGGTTGGGAAAAACACCAGAAGAACCAGTTTTGTATTACTCCTATTGTGTAACATAAAGCCACAAATTCAGTTATACCTTGGCTAAATAATGTCCCTTTGCTTATGTGGTGCCTCTTCTCACCATGGAGTGTTTAATGCAGGCATTATTCATGCTTCCAAGCCAACTTTATCATAAAGTCTTATTTAATATGGTATTATTAGTAATATAAGTATTAAGGTCCAGAATAATTGGCTATTAATTGAACCATTCTATGCTCTGAGTTTCCACAGATGTAAAACCATAGAAATTTTTTATGACAATTGCAGCAGGGCAATTGTTTCTCCACTACAGGACAGAGATACTAAATGAGGTAACTTTAAAAGTCACTTCAATATTCACATAAGGTATTCAGTTTTCTTGGCAATAGGCATCATTATTTTTAATAACCTCAATGACTTCTATACTTGTTTCTCCAATATGTGGATTAATTTTATATTCATGTTACCATTATGTTATTATAATCCACCTCAAATCCTGATAAAAACTATTAAGACAGAAACTAAACAGACTTATCAACAAACAGATTGGCATCAGAATTTTGCAGGTGGTTAACACACACAGGGGATTAGAAACTCTATTAATGCTCACTGCGAAAATCAGAGTTCTGTAATCATCTGAGCTTTGCTTTTGTCCTCCGTAAAGAGTCCCGAAATACATGATCTTTCAAGCTCCTTCCAGCGCTAATATTTTATCTTAACATATCTTACTTTAAAATGTACATTTGCTGAGTCTACTAAGTGTCTTATGCAAAGCCTGGATTCTTTTTAGAAATGAGGTTTCAAGTTTTGGCCCCATCCATCTACCCATCCATGTAATCAGGTGGTTTTCATTTAGTGCTTACTAAGCACAGGAGAACTAGCTTTAGTTTGCATGCAAATGGCCAGGTGGAAGATAAAGAGGTGAACAAATTAATACACAAAGTAATTACAGATTGTGCTAAGTGGTATGAAGTTGGAAAGGGCATTGTGATGAAGGTGACAAAGGGTGCAAATGTAAACAGGTGGTTGGAAAATACTGGGGAATGGTATTTAAGCTGAGATGTGATGCATTCAAAGGACCAAGAGAAGAGCATGATGGCGAAAAGAAAAGCAGGTGTACAGCTCCTGAGCAGAGACTAAATAAGGGTATGCTAGGCAACAGACCAAATGCAGAAGCAGATAGGAGAAGTGAATAGTCGTCTATTAAACCAGACATTAGAGTGATTCGCAGAAATATAAGCCAATACCACTCTTCTAAGTACATTTTGGTTATTGTTGGAAATACAGTTCTTTTTCAATAAAAATATGTAATGGGTTGATTCTTTTTAAGTAAATCATTTTTTTTAAAGTTCCATAATGGTAAATATGGATAAGAAACAACCCACATACACAGAAGCTCTCTGGGGTCTTCATTTATTGAATGGGGTAAAGGAATCCTAAGATTAAAGCGTTTGAGGACCACTAGTCTCGTCACTCCCAGTGTTGGATAAACTAGCTCAATCATTACGGTCCCGATTGCACGGGGCTCACAACTCGAAATTATCTTCCTCTCTCTTGTCCCAGGTCCTGGTTCTGGCGTGTCGAGACTGAGGAACCAGGCGTCCTTTACCGCACGGGGGGGGGGGGGGTGTTGTCTTCCCGGATCCTCCCTAGTCCCGACCCCGCCATCCCGAGCCCCCACCGTCCCACATCCCCCCATTCCAGCAAGGCTCCTAGTTTCCAGACACCCCTGCCATCCCGGACCATTCAGGCCCCCACATTCCGGACCGCAGGCACCCGGCCCTCCCCGATTCTGTGCCCCCTTCGAGCCCCCTCCCCGCCTCCCCGGCCGCCGCGTCCTTACCCGCCAGGCAGGCGGTGGCGTCGATCCACTTGAGCAGCTGCCCTGCGCTCAGCTCGCCGCGGGAGTTGGCGTGCGCCGGCTGGATGGCCTGGCTCATGTGCACTTCGCCCGCCGCCGGCTGCTCCATGGCTGCGCCGAGACTGAGAAGCCCCTCGGCCAAGGGCGCCTGGTCCGCGCCGGGCCCGGATCCCGCTCCCTGCCGGCCTCCCGGGGCCGAGCGGTGCACTGGGAGGTGAGATCCAGGTGCTGGGAATATCGCCCCGGAAATACCGCGAGCAGGGCGAAGGTGAACGCGCTTCTGTTTCAGAAAAAGCCAAATCTGGGGCAACCAAGGTTGGCAAAGCTGGGATCAATCCCGTTTCTCACCCGAAAAGGGAGGGTCAGCAGTACTTAACTCAGTGGCTACGCGGAGAATTAAGTGAGATAATAAATGAAACACATACAGCATGTGCCTGCCTAAGATGACGTAGGTGCTTGGTAAGCAAATTAGTGCGGACTGAAGAACTTGACAGGTGAGGGGGAATGAAGGATTGATTAGTTAAATGCTGTCCAAAGAATGTAGACCTTTATTTAGCTTTAGAAGCTGATTTTAGAGCTTGACAAATTTTAGAGTTTGACAGTTTGTTGTTGTTTTTCTTTTTTCCTGGCTGTGAACTGCCAGATAGAGTGGGCATCCACTCCTTAAACCTTAGTTTGAAAATCCACCTTCTGTTTCTTAAGATATAATGGCTCCAAAGAACCCTATGTTGTTGATTATTTTGTTATGAAATTACCACCGCTGCCAAATAAACCAAAACAAACCAAACCAAAACAAAACAAAACAAAACAAAACTGATGTTTACAGGCATATCAGAGTCACCCGACAAAGCAACCTTTTGGTTTTATTCTAGAGAATTTAAGATTAGAAACTGTCACCTCATTACTAATGATCCCAGCAAATCCCAAGAGACTCTCTTCTTTAGGAGAGGCAAACTCTAGAACATTAAATGAGTTTTTATTCTCCGCCTTTAACAGAAAAAAGCTGCTACACTTTCTAGAGCTGAAATCAGTGACTTTGCAAAGCAGTTTTCATTAAGGAAAGGTGACACCAGAAAACCTCCAGCATATAATAGATTCATAGATGCTGTATTGTTAGGGACTGTTGCACCTGAGAGAGCATTTATGAGTGAAGAATGGAAGCCCGGAGAGCTGAAGCAATGTGCCAGGCATACAACTGACTTAGCCAGAGCAGCTAAGGTAGAGAGGGCCTGGCTTAACTCAGGGCTCCGACTGTCCAAAGCAGCTGACCACAAAACCTAACTGACTCCAACAAATTGGCGGTGCTTTTTCATCCCTGTGCAGATGGCCTGCCAAGCCCCAGCCTGGAGACATCAGAATGGAGATTCTGGTAATTTTGCTTCTTCTTTAAAGATTTTTTATGAAAGAGAAGAGCTAAGGAAACATGGACTTGATAACCTTCAGGATGCACTCTGGATAGGTTTCCATCCAGTATAAGCATAAATAAGAATTGAATGCATTCAGCTAGGCAAGCATGAAATTTGACTTTTTATAAAAAGCACAAAAATAACTTTTGTAAACCAACAAATTAAAACTTATGCCTCCAAGATTGTCCTCTGATGTATTTATATACTTAATGACAATGTTATTACTCACATCACTTTTGGCACCCCTCTTTGGAAAATGCTTCTAGAGTCATTGATGCCATTTGGCAGATTAGATTATTGTTCATCAGATATCACTCCATCTACTGATAACTTCCTGGGAAGCACTTATGGATGTTGTGCTTGGCCACCTGACCTGCTTAGAAATGGAATGTGGGGAGGTAACAGTGTAGCAGTTCCAAGACCTAGACCTTCCTATCTGACCCCTGCCATGAGAAGATTACAAGCCTGAGTAGCTGCCACATCAGCATTGGGGTGCCAGACTGAATTCACATATTGCCAAGCCATTCTAGCCAACCTGCAAACTTGCAAACTTGTAAATGAGAAATAACTACTTACTGTTGTATGTCACTGTGATTTGGGGATTTTTTTGTTACTCAGCAACTGAGGGTTACATGCATGAATTTCATTTATAAATATTTTAGGAAATTTATTAAGTTAATGGAAATAGAGTTTGTGTTTAGGCTGGGTTGTATTATTTTGGGTAAAAAAAAACGGTGACTAAAGTGTTAATATGATCATATACTTGGTTTCTTGTAAACTTGAGGAATTTTGAAAATGTTTTAAGCATAGATGTGAGAAGTTAGGTTTCCAAAGTGATTATCTGGAAGGGGACAGCTTGTATCTGTATCTGTATGTCTAGGGATGTTTGATCAAAAAGCACACATAGTGTATAAACTCACCATTGTGTTTTCTTATATGTATTAAATCCTATTTAGATGTCTTTCGATTATGGGTTCATATCTTTTGTTAGTTTCACACTGATGTTCATTTTAATAGCCTCAGCCTAAAACTACGATTCTTATGTTTTTCTGAATGGTCTCGTTTTCTCTTGCACAATGAAAATGTCATCCGCATGTGTGAACATTTGCTATATCCTTTATCTGTCAAGGATTTTTGCTATTATGTTTGAAGAAAAGGCTTTCATTTTACATTTCTGTTTAGAGGCATCTTTTGAAGACCAGCAGAATGTGAAGCCAGCTTGATTTTAAAAGGTCATGCACAAAAGCAGGAAAGCTGATTGGGAAGAGTGCGGAAAATATGCTAATTAGAACATCTTTAGTATGTTGGAGTGGGAAGGAAACTATACAAGTCTAACCCCCTCATTCCGGAGATGAGGAAATTAAATGTTTGCCCTGGGGCACATTGCAAGGTAGCTTCTCAGGGTTTGAGAAAACCGAGAACAAGGAGCATGAAATATCAGACAAGAGAAAAAAACTGCTTCCTCCTGAAACAGACCCTCCAACACGAATTTAAGAGTAAGCAGTTTATTTGTGAGGAAACTGCAGAAAGCACTTGTAGGGGAATTAAAGTGCAGTCAGTCCCCAGACCGGCAGCATCAGCTTCACCTGGCAGCTTGTTAGAAATGCAGATCTCAGGCCCCAGCCAGACCTGCTTGTACGAGCATCTGCATTTCATTAAGATTCCCAGTGAGTCATGAGCACGTTAAAGTTTGTGAAGAACAGCCCGAGTTATCCGTCTCAGAGACAGGGAAGCTGGGGTTTTTATCCTCCTACTCCCATCCTTCATTGATTAAGGGCTGCTTCTGGAAGCATTAACTCTCCGCCCTTAGCTGACTGCAGGTTGGGAGCAGGCTCTCAGGCAGAGTTTCACTTTAGTCGGAGCTTGTGATGGACACCAGGGTGGTGAGTGCCGAGGGGATGCAGACAGGGCACAGAGCCAGGATACTTACACTGTGCTGAACATCAGAGGCAGCTGGGAGCCTTTTCGTTTTAGGAAATGAAGCCCAGGCAGAGGGTTTGGTAATTCAAAGTATTTCATTCAGAGATGAACTTTATTAGCTTTCAGAATCGATCTCCACCTTTGGTATAGTTTATCAAAGGTGTCAGGTCAGTGTTTTCAAATTCAAATTTATGAGGATGTGGTTCAAAGTTTAAATAACAGAGTTACTAAGCAAACATTCCCAAATTGGCTTTCTTATATTTTGGTTGCGGACTTGCTGCCAGGGTCTCTTGCCCTCCTTTGCTCCTGGAATTTACTCTCAGAAACCCTCTGACCTCACGGACTTGAACTCCTCCCATTCAGCACTCGGAGCCTCCAGCCAACCTTTCTCCTGTTTGTCCCTGTGCTTCCAGTGGTCCCAGCTCTCAGACAGACAAGCGTTAGGTGTACAACCTAGGAGTCACCTAGTGCATGTAGAGTGAAGCCCTATTTTGTTTGAACAAAAGCCATGTGTATAGAGTCCGATTTTTTCACTTTTCAAGGTTTGCTTGGTCCCACCTTGGTGCCAGACATTGCTCGGTGGAGGCCCCTGGCCGCTGCCACTGCTACTTGTCAATATGTTGAAGTACATTGACTGTTTTCAAATATTCAACCAGTCTTGCATCACTGGAATAAACCCCTCTTGGCCATGGTATATAATCCTTTTTATATATTGCTGAATTCTATTTGCTAATGTTTTCTTACGGAGTTTTACATTTGTATCTTTGAGAGATACTGGCCTGTAGTTTTCTTTGTTTCCCCCTTCCTTCCTCTCTCCCTTCTCCCCCGCCCCTTCCCTCCCTCTCTCCTGTCTTTGTCAGCCTGGAGCAAGTGAAAGTCTTCACTTTCATGACCTTGCCACTATTGAAGGTTACAGGCCAGTTATTTTTGTAGAATGGCAATTTGGGTTTGTGTGTTCTCTCCTCATAGCTAGATCAAGTTTCTGCATCTTTGGCAGGGGTATCAAGGAGTAATGCTGCATTCTTCTTCGTGCATGTTATCAGGTGGTGCACAATTTTAATCTGTCCCATTTTGGATGATGTTCATTTTGGTCATTTGATTAAAGTGGTGTCTCCTGGCTTTTCTCCTGCAAATTTCCCCTTTGTAAATAAGACAAATTTTGTATGGAGGTAGTACTTTGAAACTATGTAAATATCTTATGCCTCATTAAACTTTTGATTATTGGTTAATTTATTTTTATAAATATGGACTCACATTTTATTCAATGGACTAGCCTTTGTTATTATCATTATTCATTTTGATGCTCAAATTGTCCCCAGTTGGGTCAGAAGGAGCTGACTTCTGTGTCCTCTTGACATGTCCCTGTCATTCTTTTGTAATTCCGGATCTCCCAGTGCAGCCAAATGTTTCAGGCTCATCTTGTATTTTTTTCCTTCTCCATTCCTGGAACCAGACATCCTAACTACCAGAACATATGAATGAATATTACCTTATATGGCAAAGAGTGTGATTAAGGGCCTGAGGGGAGAAGCTTATCCTGGATTACCCAGGTGCACCTTAATCCTAACCACATTTATCCTCACAGACACATAGAGAAGAGGAGGAGGCAGAGACTGGAGTGCTGTGGTCACAGGCTAAGGAACACAGGGAGCCACCAGAAGTGGGAGGCGGAGGGAAGGCTCTCCCCGGAGCCTGTGGACAGAGTGTGTCCCTGCCCACACCCTGGACCTCTGGCCTCCAGAAATGGGAGAGAATAAATGTCTGTTGTTTTAAGCCACCTGGTTAGTGGTAATTTGTTATATCGACTCTAGGAAACTAATACGCTATCTATAAAACCACGAATTCAGACTGATACATCAGTTCCCATCTACCACTGCAGGGTTCATTTTGTTTCTCCTTCCCCAAAGTTCTAACTCCATTTCCTGACAAGGAGAAGACTGGCTTACATCATGCTTAGTGGATTGCTTTACC